TATATGCACACTGAGAAAGGACTTCACAGGTTTCTGCTTGGGGGTTCAGCTGAGATTTATTGACCCAGAAAGAACTTGCAACTCCCTAAGCCTTATGATCCAGGAAGTTGTTCACCTTTTTTAAAAAATAAATCATAAAAACAAACTATTTGACGTTCTTATCTCACCCCTTCCTCCCAAGCTGGTCTTGCACAAGCGTGATGACCTGCCATTGGGCGATGAGCGTGTCGTAAGTGAACGTTTACAGGCACTACAGGAATGACCTGGTGCCTCGCCCACCTCATTAGAATTCTAATTGGGGTGTGTAGGAGAGGCTTCTATAAATGGTAAGGCAATCCCTGGCACCACATCTCCCCACACTGTCCCTGACATTCTCAGCAGAGCCCCAGAGGAGGCTGAGGAAGGCGAAACATGAGAGGTGAGTGCGTAGCATCTTCTCTGGCAAGCCCTTGCTGGAGGCCGGTGCGGGGCCTGAGCAGCCGACCAGGACAGCTGCCTGCCCGGGGCCACTGTTGAAGGCTGGATCTCAGTATTTCAGGGTTTTATTCAGAGGTAGCTCTTTTCAGAGTGGCTGCCGGCTCCCTCTAGCACCTTCTAGGTGTGGGATGTAGTTCTGAGTGATGGGCAGGTGTTCAGTGCAGCTGAAGGTCAATGTCCCCTTAGATAGAGGACTAGCTTTATTGTGTTGGTGTTTCTTTGATACATTTTGTCACAACTACTAAAGTCAAGCCAGAGAGCACTTGCTCGTTGTGTTTTGCATTGTGTGTTTTACCAGCTGTCAGCAGCAGAGGCAAAGAATAGCAAGAAGTCTCAGAGCCCTCAGGGGGTGAGAGAGCAAGAGCAAGGAAGCTTAGTTGTAAAAAGAAAACTCCTTGGCATCGCTGGAATGCTCCTAAGTAAACTATGCATCCGGAAGCACCAGGTCCTTGTCAGAGATTTGATGTGCTGAAATCCAGTAGCAGAAGGTGTACCACAAGATGCTAGGTGTTCCTACCTGGGAAGGGGAGCAAAAGAGAACAAGAAGTGCAGGTTCTTTAACTCTGTAGTTACTGTCGGTTACTGTCGAGGATTTGGGCCCTTTGTTAATCAGAGACCCTGCTAAGCCCCTGATAATTACTGTCTGTCATGGGTGTTCAGCCTTAGACATTGATAGCAGCGATGCCAAACCCAAACAAGGCATGAGTCAAACCCATAAAATACTGTGAATGGCAGTTAGGACCACAAGAAGGTTTACCACAGGAATCACTGAGCCAGATGCAAAAGGTGAATGCTGTCTCCTCTAGGAACCCCCAAGACCAGGTCAGGGTTGTTGCAAAAATGTGCCTTCCCCTGCCTTCCATTTTCTCCTGTGGATACGCAGTATGGCCAGGATGCTACTGAGAGGAGCCCTGAGTCCTTCAGACTTTGTCAAAAGGGGATGGTAGCTGTTACGAAGCTTACCTCTCTCCCCCAGGAAGTGACTGAGCACTTGAAATGGACAGACCTTTGTCAGAGTCACACAACCAGTTGGTAGCAGAGCCCAACTATGGCCCAGCCACTGTGGGATCTGTTTATTGTGTCCTGTTGCTCGAGCTGAGCTCATACACAAGTGCAAGTGACATGTGGGACACAGGAAAGCAATCCTGATTGTGGTTTCTTATTTGGTCTCTGTTACCAACTGCTCCCTGTCACTTCTGAGCCTTCAGTCTGCAAGATGAAGAGCTTGAAATAGAGGGACTCTGAGGCACCTTGCAGGAGTGATTCTCCATGAAAGGAACTCAAGGGCAGAGAGCCAGTGGCCCCAGTATGTGCCCAGCCCCTGGAGGTATGAACCACATGAGTAACGCGCACATAGTGGTCCAGCTGCTTGACGTCGCTAGGGTCTGAGATTCCCGGGCACTGAGCTCCTAGAGCCCAATCAAGTTAACCAGAGACATTCTAAAGTCACAACAGAATGAGGGCAGTGGCTGGTTGGGAAAAAATCAATTTGAATAAGAGGAAGGAAGAGCAGGTGAATGCATCCAGTGCCTTAAATTTGTCACACATGTAGTCCCTAGCTCAGCGCCTAGTCACTCAGCCAGGAAGGGGGTTCATGTTTCGTGGGTGAATGGATTTACTTGTGGGAAAGGGAAAAGGACTATGCCAGGTGCAGAGGGGATCAGGAGATGAATGGCATGCAGGGCCTGCCCTTGGTGAGCTTTCAGTCTTGACGACACCAGTTCATTGGTAAGATACATGCAGGGTGCACTGACAAATGCAAACCAAGTGCTGTGGGGACCAAAATGAGGTAGAGATTAATCTTGGCTGGAATGTGGAATATGGACGGCCCTGGAAAGTCAATGGCACTTGGTCATGGACAGTGAGCTGGGCTTGGTCTGGAGTGGTTTGTGAGATTAAGAGCATTCAGGCAGAGGGAACAGGTAAATAAATGTGGACTTATATTTAGGTGGGACCCAGGGGACTATCAGGATGACATGTGTGTTGAGACTCTGCGTCTAGCTCCTAACTTGTTCCTCTTGCCTGGAATAAGAGTGTGTCCAGTTATTCTGCCTGTCGGCAAAGAAGGTCACCTGGACCGTGGATGGGACAATGGTGGCTCAGGAAGAGTCAGCACTATCCTACACACAGCAGCCTCAAGCAGCCCTGGAATGAACAGGAGTGCAGACTGTGCGCCCAGGTGTTGGGCCCGAGGTGGAGGGGAGCACTGTTCCCCATCCCCAGCGCCTCTCGGGGACTACGGTTCTGTCCTGCTGGGGGCCATGAGCTTTCTTACCAACCACTTTCCTGAACGTGGCACTAGCCTTGGCTTCAGGCATTACCTTCTCTTGGCTCTGTTTCCCCATCTCCCGAGGGTGTGTCACATTCTGGACTCGTGGGTCGGTCACCAAACATCTCCCTGCAGCTGGCGCATCAGGGGCTCCTTGTCCCATGGAAGGCATTCCTGCTGGGGTGCTACCTACTTCTTTCTGTGAATCTTCTGGGATCTTTCTGGACTCTCCTTGCATTCTTGATTCAGTCACCTGGACTCTGCTCACTCTGAAAAGAAGATGACCCCTCTGGGCTCCAGTGAGAACCAGCTACCTCCTCTGTGCCCCAGACTCACCGTCTTGGCTGACATGGACAGCAGCTGCTCCCTGTTCATTAGAGACATGTCCCCCCTGGCCTGAGGGCCACCCATACTTCGGTTTTTGTTACCATGGGACTGTATTCAGGGGCAGGGAAACCAAGGGTTACAAGGGCAAGTCAAGAGGTGCTCTCTGGATTGACTGTCCCCTATTGGTGGAGTGAGTGGTCTCGGACAGGTTAGATAACTTGTGTGTCTGGGTTTCCTCACCTGTACATTAGGGTTATTGTGCTATCCACTTCCTAGGTGTCCCCTAGGACCTGGAAACTTCTTTCATGAGTCTGTTTTCTCCTTGCTTTGGGATCTTATGAGGTGAAGTTTATTTCCTAATCAAGGATGATTCCCAGGGGATCTCCCCTGTTAGGAACCTCCCTAACACCTGTCCTCCTGTCCCCTCACCAGTCCCCTTAATACACTCCTGGAGCCTTGGGTCCTGGTGTCTGCATGAGCTGCTTGTCCACCTCAAATGATTTCTCCATGCTACCTCCACCTGCGGGGCTGTGTTCTCTGTTGGGGCCGTCGCTGTCCTCCCCAGGGCCACACGTCAGGCTGCGTGTGTGCTGAAGTTAGGAAATTCTTTTCCTACCACTTGGGAGCAGAAAGAGGGAGAGGCCCGTCGTCTTTGGTAGGGGCTGGGTGATGAGCTCCAAAGAAGCCTGCATTCCCCTCTCCTAGATTTATTTGGGAGAAGAGGACAGTGACACCCCCCTCCCCCTCAGAGCAGCTCAGGTAAGATCATGTGAAAAAGTGTCAATAGTATCAATGACACAGAGGCCTAAGTTAGGCAGTGCTCACAGAGCTTTTAAAAATACCAGTGCTCTTCCTACCCCAAAAGTGCTAATTGACTGATCTGGGGTGAGGCGCAGACCAACATGACACTCTCCAAAGGATTCATCTGGGCAGCATGGTCAGGAGATGCTCCCATGGTCTGAGAGATTCTAAACTTATTCAGAGGGGAATGAGGTCCCTGGATGGCAGTTCCAGGGACTGGCCCTAGTTTTTGCCCCCCTAATCACTTGGGTTAGCTGCAGGGTGGCAGCTTAGAGTCATCCAGGCTGAACTGGGGTCCAGGCTCTGCCTGAGCTCGTGATATTGGACAAATGACTTCACCTGACTCAACTTCCAAGTGCCTCATCTATAAAACGGGCATAACCACATCAGAGAGTTTTTCTGACATTAAAAGATGTCATGCAGGTAAAAGGCTTGACATAGTGTCTGGCTCTGAAGAATATTACCATGGCAGCCCACAAAAAGCTCAAATCCTCCTCTACTCCTGTGTGACTTTGCCATTATATGTGCAAAACCAGGGATAGCGGTGGGTCTGTCTTAGATCCCAACAATAACCCTACAAGGTAGGACATTCCGATCTCAAAACTCCTTTCTACACTTGAAGAAAACAAATTAGAGACACTGATACTCTTGCCTGTCTAGGCTACCAGTCCAGGGCTTATCCCTCTTTGTCCCAGAGAGCCTCACACCAGCTCCTTCCTCTGTCCATCAACAGAGCCCCAGACTTCCCACTACCTGGAGCCACTTGTGCTACTCAGGGCTGGAAAGGATGAAGAGGGAGGCCAAGCTAAAACAGCAGAGGCTGGAAAGAGAAAGGGGAAGGGAGGCTGTCATCAGAGCCAGAGGTGGGGCTGGCCAGGAGCTGGAGAGGTAGGTGCCTGGGGCCTGGGGGGCGGGGAGAGCGGCAATCGGAATGACTCACAGCCCTTACATGACTTGGATCTGAGACCCGGCTTCTGGGCCAAGCTCGGCTTATAAACTTCTCTGTGATCTTAGCAGATCTCTTCTGCTTTGGGGTGGGGGCAAGGGGTGGGGGCTCAGTTTCCTATCCGATAATGTACAAATTTTGGATTCTATCACTCTTTTTCCAAGCTTCCCATTGAAACCCATGAGCGGGTTGTGAAATCAGCTTAGTGGATGGTGACCAGCAATCTTTTAAAAATATGAAGCAATAGAGAAAGTATCTGAGTGCTTTATACCTAGCTTTATAAGAAGCGCTAACATTGTTTCATGAAACTTGGTGTCCGTTGCTGATTGATGTGTGCGGACACGGTGTAAAATGCGTTTCTTAATGTGGTTTCTAGCTTTTTTTTTTTTTTTTTTTGAGAGAGAGAGAGAGAATTTTTAAATATTTATTTTTCAGTTTTTGGTGGACACAACATCTTTATTTTTATTTTTATGTAGTGCTGAGGATTGAACCCAGTGCCCCGCGCATGCCAGGCGAGCCGTTACCGCTTGAGCCACATCCCCAACCCAAGTTTCTATATTTTTTTAACAAGCTCAAAAGCCATTCAGCTAGATGATTTTTTAAAGAATTTCCTCTCAGCTGTAACTCTAGAAGTGTGTCAGATAAAAATATATCTTTGTCTTGAGTAGAGTCTGGGCAGGTAGGAGGTCCCACCTCCTGGAGTAGTTGTCATGCCACATTGGGTCACCTGCCAGCTCCTCTGTGGTATGAAACTCCCCGGAGCAGAGGTGAAATTAACCACATGCCCAGCAACCAAGGCATCCTTACCTGCATGCTACAGGGACTCACAAGGGTCAATTCAGCTGATAGTGACCCCCTTTCACAGTCTGGCATGTTCTCCCATCACCCCTGCCAAAGTTAGACCCCAGACACCAGCAGGGCAATTGATCAGGTTTCTCTGTGACAGTGAGCCGCCAAATAAGTGTCTTACCAAAAATAAATAAATAAATAAACAGGACAACAGTTTCTTTCTTACATGGTGTAGATGTGGGCATTTCTGGGCAGGTAAAGGCACTGTGGAATCTCCCCTGGCCCAGGCTCTGTCCTGCCTCCAATTCTGCCATCTCTAGGGTCTGAGGTGGCCACTGGAGCCCTGTCCACCCTCCAGAGAGCAGGTGGAAGAAGAGGGAGGAAAACCAGCAAAGGACATTTGCCAACAAATTTTTAAAAGAGCCTTCCTCCACAGGGCACGGTGGCACACACCAGTGATCCCAGTGGCTCAGGAGGCTGAGGCAGGAGGATCACAGGTTGGAAGCCAGCTTCAGCAACTTAGCGAGACTGTAAGCAACGTAGTGAGACCCTGTCTCAAAATAAAAAGTAAAAAAGGCTGGGATGTGGCTCAGGGGTTGAGTGCCCCTGGGTTCAATCCCTGGTACTGAAAAATATAGAGCCTTTCGTATGAATGTTTATAGCAGCACTCTTCAGAAGAGTCAAAAGGTAGAAACCATCCAAATGTCCATCATGTAATGAATGAATGGATAAACAATCTATGATCTATTCATAGAATGGAATATTATTATTCGGCCATCAGAAGAGAATGAAGTACTGATACATCCTATAACATGGATGAGACTGAACAGCAGCATTATGCTAAAGAGCACATGTTATGTGATTAATTTATATGAAATGTCTAGAACAGGCAAATGCATGGGAGAAGAAAGCAGATTTACAGTTGTCAGGGTCTAAAGAAAGGAGGCAATGGAGGAGGGGGGCTGCTAACAGAGGGGGCTCTTTGGGGACCAGATAGTGCATAACATTGTGAATGTGGTGATTTTTTAAGAATTTAGAAGCCACTGGGTTTTACTTTAAATTGATTAAAATGGTGATTTTTTTAATGTTATGGACATTTTACCACAATTTTAAAAGTTAAAAAAAAAAAGATTCTCTGGAATCTATGTTTAAATGTAGAACTGCCTACAAGTCAGGGCCAAACCTTATTCATGTGACCACCCAGGTGCAATGGAGTCAGTGAAATATGGTGCCTGTTGATAAGGGGGATTTTATGACCAGGAAAGGAACAAATAAGTATTGGGAAAGAATTTAGTAATGTTCTCCACAGTAGGACTGCTGGTGGCTCTGATATTCTCAGGGGGGAAAAAAAGTGAGAAATTGCCTGACCCTCGAGTTAGCAGTAACTCAAGGAGGTGACATGATATTGTGGGATGAGCCCTGGAATGGAGATCCAGAGGTGCCCTTTGTGGGAACCTGTATTTTCCTCTGATTTTTTTTTTTTTTTTTTACATACTGGGGATCAAACCCAGGGCCTCACACATGCCAGGCAAGTGCTCTACCACTGAGCTACACCCCCAGGAAGAATGCACCTCTCCATTCCCTCCCTCACCTAGGCTGGTGCAGGAAACAGCCCTGAGGTTCAAACATGTTCATGAACTGCAAACATAGATGGCAGGTCGCTTCTCCCCCTTTGTCTCTGTGCACGGATGGCAGCATAGGCAAAGTGCTCTGCCAAGGGCGGTGGGGGGAGGGCCAGGACAGGAGCAAATGGGTACTGAGATAGAATTTAGTAGTGTTAGGTGGAATTCAGTACTGTGGCTTACCATCCGAATGCAATAATAATATTCCATTCTATGAATAGATCATATTTTGTTTATCCATTCATCCCCAAGTAATCCACAGGGTCAACAGGCCCTTTCCAAGGTCCCAAGAATTTTAGGAGCTGGGGGTGGCAGAAGCATGCATTTCTTATGGTGTCACACCTGGGTTTAGAACCCTGGCTTTGCAACTCCTGGATACAGAACCTCAAATAAGGTTCCTTGTCTCTCTGAGCCTCAGTTTCCAGTTGCTGAGAGTTCCTCGATGACACATTGCAGCCCGTTGACAAATGTCTTCCTCCTCTGTCCTCTCCAGCTCAGAGGAGACTGTGATCCCACGATACCCTCGTGGAGAGCAGACCTCCTCCTCCTTGCTGGGGCTTTCACTTGGTGTAGGAAAGGAGGCGATGGTGAACGTGGGCTCTGGAGGCAGACTCCTGTGACTGTGTACTATAGTCCTCCACGCAGGAGCGGGGTGACCATGACACGGCCTTCTCTACACCTTGGCTTCCTCATCTGTAAAACAGAGCATTACGCATGCCCAGCTCACAGGGTTTATGGGCTGATGCATGTAAGGACTGGAGTAATGACCGGCACATGGATGCCCAGTAAACTTCAGCTAGTACTGTGATCGTGGCCACCACAATCACCCTGGCTCTGACCCGGTGGGTCATGCAAAGTGCACCCGGCTCCTCGCCGCCCGTGTCCCTGGTGGGAGGAATGGTGTTTCTGCAGCCGAGGCCCCTGGAGCTCAGTCTTGTCTTGGTCATTCTCCCAGAGGACCAGTCACTGGTCTCTAGGATGAACGAGATGGGCCTTTGCTGCTGACACAGACGCAGCAAGGACAACCCAAGCTTTCCTAGAGCTGTCACAGGTGTGGACCTGTCGGCGGGGAGGGCAGGTGCCAGGTGGAGCTGCAGAGTCCCTCCCTTCTTTCCTTCCCCTGTGCTTGGCAGAGAGCCATCTGGGGACACACTTTCTGTGCCCAAAGAACTCACGGTCTAGAAGAGCGAGTTTGACCTGGAGAAGGGCGTGCTTCTTTCTCTAAGGTTGAGAAAGGAGGTGAAGAATCTGGAAGTGGCGTAGGGGGCTCAGGTGGTCTGAAACCAATTGTTCCATGGAGCCTTCTTTTTTCTAAAGTAACTCCACGAATAAAGCTCTACCAGATCTTCCCTGACCGGGACCAACAGAGAGCAGTGAGCAAGGCCAGTAGGAGGCAGAGGTTAAAAAAGCTGGGGACCCAGCAGCCTGGTTGTCTATGAACCGTGGAAAGCTCAGTGTCAGCTCACTCTGAGCCTCTGCATGGCCATCTCACCTGCTACTGATGGCCAGGAACATTCACCTTTTCTTCCTCCTTCCCTCTTCTCCCCCCTGGCCTCCCTTTCCTCCGCCCTTCATTCAGTCAATTCTTGTGGTTTGCATGCATGTCTCTGTTTCCTTAAATAACCCTGCCCTGGCCCCCTGCTTGCTCCTGTCTCCCTCCCTCCCTCCTCGGTGCAGGGCCTCTGTTCTAGGCAGCTCACTCATCTAGGCCTGCGGGCCTCTCTCCCCATCCTCGGGAAAGCACACTGCTTTAATGACACCTGACAAAATTATCTTCTTTCAAGTCCCAGCATGTTCTTCCTTCTTTTTAATTTGAATTTATTTTTAATAGATAAATGAAGACTGTGTATATATATTTTTGGGACACATACGATGTTTCAAGGCATGCATGCATATATTGTATGATGTTTAAATCAGGTTCGACATGTCTATCTCACCATTTACCATTTTAGGGTTGTTCCTCACCATTTACCATTTTAGGGTTGTTCGTCTTTCTTAGAGCTCTCTAATTATAGCTTAGTACTCATTGATCAATCTGTCCTCATACCTCCCTTCCCTTTTTTGTCCCCAATGAGATCAGCCTTTTGCATATGAATGAGACCATGTGGTACTTGTCTTTCTGTACCTGGCTTACATCACCGTACAAATGATCTCTAGTTCCATCCATTTTGTCAAAGGACAGGATTTCTGCCTTTTTTGTGGCTGAATAGTATTCCATTGTGTGTATGTACCACATTTTATTTACCTGCTCATTCCCAGATGGACACTTAGGTTGACTCCAATTCTTGGCTATTGTGCTTAAGTGCCCAATAAACATAGGCGGGCAGAGGTCTGTTTGACATACTGATTTCATTTCCCTTGAATATTTACACAAAACAAAAGTAGGATTGCTGGATCATAGGATAGTTCTAATTTTAATTTTTGGAGGACCTTCCATATGGTTTTCCAGGCTGGCTGAACTAGTATACATTCCCACCAGCAGTATGCAAGCCTTTCCCTCTTCTCTTACCTCCTGGCCAGCCCAGCCTTGTCTTTTGTCTTTTTTACAATAGCTATTGTTTCTAGAGTGAGGTGTGGCTTTCCTGTGGTTTTGATTTGCATTTGCCTGGTGATTAGTGATGCTGTGCATTTTTTCATAGACCTGTTGGCCATTTATATGTCTTCTTTCAAGATCCAGTTTTTCACCAGGCACAGTGGGCAGGAGGTTCACCAGTTCAAGGCCAGCCTCAGATACTCAGTCCTAAACAATTTAGTGAGACCTTGTCTCAAAAGATTAAAAAAAAAAAAAAAGAGCTGGGGATGTAGCTCTATGGTCAAGTTCCTCTGGATTCAATCCCCAGTTCCTAAAAACAAAACAAAACAAAAAAATTCAGCATTTTCAATGAAGCTTTTTCTGATCCCTATAACTGTGATTGTCTGCTGCACCCTCCTTATGGGCAGGGGACAGAATTCCCCTGACTCCATCATCCTTTGTCACTCATGCCTATCTTACCCGATACAGATGATCTTAAAACTCCATCTCACCCGTTTTTCCACTCCAACATAGGGTCTAACAGAGTGTGGTACAAAGAAATAGGTGTTTTATATCTGTCTAATGAATGGGTGCCCTGCATTTCACCTTCCTTTATGGACCAAACTTTGAGTGGTAGTTACCAGGGTGTTTTATGACGTTAGTTTTTTCTTTGTTTACTTATTTTTTCATTCATTTATCTATCCAGTTATCCTACCCCAGTCAAGCAATGTGCGAGGCACCAGGATTTACAGATCAGGAAGGCATATTCTGATGGTGAGAGAGACACAAATTTAAGAATCCAATCTGACTGAGGTGTGCGTCTCCCTCCCAGCACGGTTGTGGACTTGTCATGAAGACAGAACTGTTCGGGTTGCGGAGGAATGAGTGACATAACATCTCACTCATCACTCCAGGGAATGAGCTGTTCTACAGGTTTCCATGAGCCAAACTCCTCATACGTCATGGGGTCTGTCATGAGCCCCATACAGTGTGGCTCTGTCACTTCTATAATCACATGAGCAGGACTGGAGTGGGGTGGATTTGGAGATGGGTGTCCTTGGGGTCTCATCTGGGAATTTCACTGGCCTTTGATCCAGTCCTCTATGTAGCTTTTGCCGGTGAGTTTTTGCAAGTTTCCTCGGAGGCTGGAATTTCCCAATCTCCAGGTCTAGAAATGTTGCTGAGGGTCATGGTTAGCAGCATCCTAAGCCCAAGCCACCTCCCAGTAAATGTTTGGCCCTTGGTGACTGGGGAGATGCAAGGACACAAGAAAGCAATCCATGCCCCTAGAGTGGAGACATGCGTCCTCCTCCCTGTTGGAACTTCATCCACTAAGCAATGAGACATGCTAAAACATAGGACAGAGTTGCTCTGGGGACACAGGTCTTCTGAATGGCTGGTGAAGTGTCCCTGAGTGTTTGGCCTATTTCTTGAAGTCTGAGTGACAGGTCACCAGATACAGATGAAAGACCCTCTCAGCAGTGGGAACAGTATGTGGAGAAGTGGCTCGGCTCTTTACAAGATCGGGGCCTTTCTATAATCTTGGATCATGTGAATTGGAATACCTGGGCCTAGAAAGGTCAAATTGGAATAGGCGGTGAGATTTTTACTAGGCAGGACCAAAGTCTTTTTGACTTCCAATGTGATTCCTTCCAGAAGTTTGGCTCTGCCCTGACTAGCCTCACCCCATCGCTGCTTTTTGGTGTCTTAGACTCTTCTCCACTCCACCACCCTTGACTCCCAAGAGTTCAGGTTGTCCTTCTCTGTCTCACAGCTCTGAGACTCCAGAGTGTCAACTGGCAAAAGTCTGCCAACCGGGATGCACATCACACGGAAAAATTCTCCAGCCAAGAACTCATCCTGCGCAGAGGCCAGCCCTTTGAGATCGCAATAGCCTGGAACCGAAATATTGCCCCTGAAGAACATCTAGATTTTGTGGTCTCCACAGGTACCTGCTCACCTCCCCACCACATCCACAGACACCTGAGTAGATTTTGGGACTGCCCGTCCCAAGGACGATGGCCACCACACTGGGATCGATGGGCTTTCTTTTGGACTCTGGCCCAGCTCTGCCATCCGTTCAGTGTAACCTTGGGCAAGTGGCTGCCCATCTTTGAGCCCAAGAGTTATCACCTTCAGATGATACTTCCAAGATGATAATAGGAACTCCTTTGGATGAATCCCCCCGAAGGACTTTGCGATTGTACTGGAACCTGACATGTCCCCATGGTCTGACCCACCGTCTTGGGTTTCCTTCATCTTCTGTCTTCTTTGACAGGGCCTTCGTCCTCAGAGTCAGCCAAGACAAAGGCTACATTTCCAATCAGCACTGGGAGCGCTGGAGGAGGATGGAAAGCTCAGCTCAAGAGCAAGGAGGGCAATTTGCTGACGGTCATCATCTCCAGTCCCGTCTCTGCACCCATAGGGTGGTACACAATGAACATTCAGGTCACCTCCTCCTCCTCGGAAGGGATGTATACCGCGAGCCTTGGAGTATTCGTACTGCTCTTTAACCCCTGGATGCAAGGTAAGCCCGGATCCAAGCTGTGAACATGGAAAGGAGCTGAGGGAATGCCCTTTTGCAGGCTCAGGTTTCACTGGGGCAAGTTTGTGGGCTGTGGGAAAGAACAGAGAAGCTAGAGGTCAAAAGCTCTGCCACTTACCCAGCTTTGTGACTTTGAACGGTCAACGCTGTCTCTCTGATCCTCAAATCCTTCCCCATCAAGTGAACATCCTGCTATTTCCTCTGGGGATCTGGAATTTTTATCCTGCATAAGCATGGTTCATTATAATTATGACTCCAATACAGTTCTGAAGCTTGGCGATAGCTTTCTGCCTGAAGGAGGAAGTGTGTCATCCCTGGGTGACATTCTCATTTCCAGACCCTCAGGTCAGCCCAGCTACTCTTTCCAGCCCAGAGTACCACAAAGAAGGTTGGAAGCATTAATAACCCAAGACCTCATTCTCTAGGCGCAGGTGGGGGAAGGCTGATCGCTTGGATCCTCTGTGGGATTCTAGTCCCTGGTATCTGCTTTCTGTGTCAAACAGGGGATGATGTCTTTATGAGTAACGAAGCCGAGAGACGAGAGTTTGTTGAGGAAGATTCCGGCGCCATCTTCGTAGGAAGCACAAATCGAATTAATATGGTTGGCTGGAATTTTGGACAGGTAACAGTGAAGACTAAGGACAACGTCCCAGTTAAGCAAGCTCAGTGGCTTGTCTCACAGATCAGCCCCGTATCTGTCCATTTGCCTGCCCTTATTCATTCATTCAGAAGATATTTATTGATCACCTATTATGCTCCATACCCTGAGCTGCTCACTGAGGATACACGAGATGGAGAAGATCTGCTGCTTAAAGGAGTCACAAGCTAGTGGGCTTGACAGACACACATAACTCGATTAGTACAATAACATAAGGCCCCAGAAAGACCGTCAGGACAGTAATATAGCTTCTGTTACTCATTCAGTGTAAAAGGCCAAAGGACCTAGTTTGAGGCAATTACTTAACATAAGCCTCATATTGTGACAATGGCTTCAGGTGTATTTTTAGTAACATATTTTCTCTTTATAAAACTGGTTTCCCAGGAGTCTACATAATATAGTCCAGGTCACAGCCATATCTATAAGAAAACTTTGAGAAGACCTTGGCCTGATCATTCACTCGATAGATAGAGCAGCCGGGGCCGCACAGGCTGAGCAACAGACTCCCAATTCCACCGCAGCAAAGCAATGGGGGAGTAGGGACAGGGTCTTGGGTACAGCAGTTTGCAGGGCTAATGACTGGGCACGGCCACTGTTCCTCAGAGGCTCTCCGTTCAGAAGGTCACAGAGTGGAACGTCTCATTGAAATCCTGTGGCCTCAACATAGAGGCTCGCGTTCCCTTAGTTAGCCAGTACCACTTGTCATTTCTTTCGTGGTAATATATAGTCCCATTCTGAATAGTATGAAGAAGACATTCTGAAAATCAGCCTCGCTGTGTTGGATAAGAGTCTGAACTTCCGACGTGACGCTGCTACTGATGTGGCCCGAAGAAATGACCCTAAATATGTTACCCGGGTGCTGAGTGCCATGGTGAGTAACAGTAGAAAGGTAATTACTGGTGGTTACCTCCATAGAGAGGCCTTTCTCAGATGAGGTGTTACCTGCAGCTAAGCCAAGGAACCTGCCCGAATCCAGCCAGATTCAGCCACCTGCCTACATCATAGACAAATGGTAAAAAAAGAAAAGAAGCCCATTGCATAGGCGCACACCTGTCAACCCAGGGCTCTGGAGGCTGAAGCAGGAGGATCCCAAGTTCAGAGCCAGCCTCAACAACTTAGCAAGGCCCTAAGCAACTTAATGAGACCCTGTCTCAAAATTAAATACAAACCAAAGGGCTGGGGATGAGATTCAGTGGTTAAGTACCCCTGGCTCGGAGCACAGGTCAGTTTCTTGTTCTCAGCACGAGGAAGTGTGGGTTCTGTCTGTTCCAAAGGGCACTTCTCCTTTGGGCATCTTCCAGGGATGGGTCAGGAAGGAGAGGGGATGCAAAGATAGCCTCTGCTCTATCGTGGGGCCTCTGAGAAGGGAGGCACATTACATCTGCTAGGGAGCCCGAGGCTTTAAGCTCCTTTGCCATATCCAGCTCCTCCACAGAAGAAAGCTCTAGACTGTCGGGACACCCATTCATTATCTAGATGGGGAAAGATGCTCAAGGAGCTAGTGTGTGTTGCTCACAGTGCATCAACTGTGAGTCAGACCACAGGAAGGCCTTGAGCTGCCTACCCAGGCTCTCTTTCCACTCACTTCGACCTTGGCATGAGAGATTTGCCACACATGAGCATGCACACACACACACACACACACACACACACACAGAGACACACGCACACACAGCTAAATCCTGGAGGAATCTGTGGCTCTGCACTCAGTGTATAGAGAATGCCTCCATTAAAAAATGACCAGACAAGGGTTGGGGCTGTGGCTCAGCAGTAGAGCGCTTGCCTAGCACGTGCAAGGCCCTGGTTCGATCCTCAGCACCACGTAAAAAGATAAATAAATAAAATAGATTGTGTCCGACTACAACTAAAAAATAAATATTAAAAAAAAATGACCAGACAGTGTCCCAGTAAATCCCATTATCATATGTAATCATAATGCATCAACCACAAAAATTTTTTTTAATTCAAGTAAGCAAGAGGATCAACCAGCTTACAAGTTAAAAAATAAAAGTCAAAGTTCTTTCATTTTAACTTTCTTGAACTAAACAATTACCTAGAAGTATCTCAAACTGCTTTTTTATTTTGGTTCATGATTTAGGGTTGTCTTGGTCTTTTTACTTTTGAGATGCATTATTATTATTATTGTTGTTGTTGTTATTATTATTATTTTATTTCCAAACAAACTAGTAACTTGGTTAGAAATGCCAACAACTTCCAGTTGCAGGATACATATGCAGGGTTAATTGGAGAGGGATATTTGAGAGTTGAGTCTGAAACCAAGCCTTGCAGGAAAGGAATGGAATAGGCTCCAAGAACCTGGGGGCCCTGGGATGAGTGAGGGCCAAGGCAGTCAAAAAATGGTACAAAGAGGAAGCAAGTTCAGGGCTTCTCAGGGAGCTGAGCTCTTCCACCAGGAGCGAGAGGGTGCGGCCAGCCGGCCCTACAGCTGCTGACTCACTAAGCCAAGGGCCAAACCACTTTATCTCAGAGCCAATTTCCTCAGCTGCACCTCCCTGATGCTCTCTCCAGACCTCCCCATTGGGCTGGGCCAGGAGCTAATTATGGCCTGTGAAAGGGCTTTGAACACTCAGCTTTCGGCCAGAGGTGACCCTGCTGATTACCACACTGGTGGCTGCACACTTGTGACGTAGGAGAGGGAGAAAGGCTGCACATGTTCCATCTCACAGGAGGGCCCTATGGCCTGGTCCTACAATTATAGTCCAGACCCTCTCCTGGAAGGGGTGTGGAGCTCACCCCTGGACTGAGAGCCAGGAAATGTTGGGCCCATCCTGTCCTGGGCCAGCATCTGTCTGTTTCCAGAATATCCATTCCCATAGGTGTTTCCACTAGGGATGTTCCAAAGAGAGGGAGTGGAACCCACAGGCTGGAGAAGCCATTGGAGGTCCTGGTCCAGCCTCTTGTACAGTGGGGATAAATGATACGGGTTGCTAGAAGGAAGGCAGCTTAGAAAACATTTCTTCTCACTTTCTCTGCATTGAAGACATAAGGCCCAGGGAGGTGAGTGACCTGCACAGGATCCCCAAGCTGACCAGTGGCAAAGCAGTGCTTATAACCTAGGTTTCTCCTCACACAGAGGCACGTGGGTGCATGCACGCACCCACGCTAAGCGTCAACCCAGGCCCTCATGCTATACAAGCATTCTACTACTGAGCACCATCCCTGGCCCTCTTTTAACTTTTTATTATGGAAAAGTTCAGATTTACACAAAACAAAGGATAATAAGTTCCTATGTACCTATCACCAGGTTCAGCAGTTGTCCACCCACTCAAGACTGATCTCGTGTCACGTCTGACCCCCCTCCTCCACAGATCATTTGGTAAATCCCAGACAGGACATTGTTGATATCATTTCACCCATAAGTAATTCAGGTCCTTACTTGGTGCTCTTTTATTTTCCTTTCTTTATCTGAATGGTGCTGGGCTAGAACCTAGGACCTCGTGCATGCTAGGCAAGCCACCTGTCACTGAACTGCACCCCAAGCTCTAGTGCTCTTCTTGTTCTGCAAAACGATTGTGTTCCTTAGTAGAAACATGCTCTAAGTCGAATGCATGAATGAATGAATAAATTGATGGATGAAAAAATGGACAAATGAATGAATAAAAAACAATATTCCCTTTTTATTCTTTCCAAGAAGTTAGATCTTAAAAGTCTTAAAATGGTCTTTGTAGAACACGAATTTCAAGTCATGGACCCCCAAGCTGACAGACAGCAGTGATAGCTAGCTCATGAGTTCTTTTTTGCAAGAAGTCCTCTGCAAGCTGTGTTTCTGGCCCTGCTGGGCCCCTGGCAGGCTGTGGAGTCTCTGTTTTCAACTGCAGTGCAGGATTGATGTGGGGATCAAGGGCAATCCAACATGGCCCATTAAACACAGCACCTCTGAACCCATAAACCACATAGGACTCCTAAGGGGTTATTGTTAGAATTATCATCCCCAAAATGAAAGACATAAACATTCCCTCAGGGGTCCCTGGTTTTCTTTCTCATCTCCCTACCTGGTCCTCTGAATTCTGCAAGTCACTCTCCTAGGACAAGTATGGTGTGGATTCATTTGTGGGGATTTTCTGTCCAGATCAATGGCAACGATGACTACGGTGTGCTTCTTGGGAATTGGAGCGGCAATTACGCCGGTGGCCGGGATCCAAGGAACTGGAACGGCAGCGTGGAGATCCTCAAGACATGGGAAACTTCTGGCTTCAGGCCAGTCCAATTTGGCCAATGCTGGGTGTTTGCTGGGGTCCTCAACACAGGTACGTTGATTGTGATGTGCCTTTGCTGGACCAGGGGGTAGTCATGGGGTGTGCCAAGGTACCCCTTCCACAAGCCAAGTCCTCATGCCAACCCTGATTTGCAGTGATGCGATGCTTGGGGATTCCCGCCCGCGTGGTCACCAACTTCAACTCGGCTCATGACACAGACAAAAACCTCACCGTGGATGTGTACTATGACCCCATGGGAAACCCCCTGCAGAAAGGCAGTGATAGTGTATGGTGAGTATCTGATCCTGCCATGTGACCGTAAACACCAAGTTTCTTGCCCTCACCTTCCCCTGGAACCCAGGTCCATCTGGAGTTGGAGGGAAAAACGTGCCTAGTCTTAGCTTCCTCTACAAAAGGAGATGGTTGGTGGAACAAGATGCCTGGTCTTCTGGGGGAAGGTTCTCTATTTGCAACCTTTCTCGATCAGTGAACACCATTTTCTTTCTGATGGTATCACTATTGGGGCAAGGTTTAAGATGGAGATGCTGCTAGTGCCAATTGCAGAACCCAAACCTCTCTTCTCAGTGCTTTACAAGATCTCTATTGTTCTGCCCTCAGATGAAGGGCCTCATACCAATGACAGGTACGATCATGATCTCCATGAAACTGCCCTGAGTTTATAGGATCCATTGGAGCTGATACTACTTTTTGAAGCTATTGACTTTCCAGTGGGAAATATAAATTTATCTCATTTCAGATAACCCATATAACCAAAGGGTTTTCTTAAAGACAGTAAGAAAACTGACCCATTTTAACCTATATATACATATTACATGTCTTGGTTGACAGAATGAAAGTTTATTTTGCATTTCAGATGAAATTTTGTGTTTAGATTCATAATCATGATTCTGCCATGTACACACGTTATGCATCTCTTTATATAATAGATGCCAACATAAAACTTATAGACATAAGTTTTATATAAATATATAGAGCAGTATATGTACACAAAAAAATGTACTATCACAACTATTTAAGGTTTTAATAAATGCCAAGTTATTACCAGATAGATGGTAATTGAAAATGTTGCCTATGCCTATATATATATATATATATATATATATATATACACACACACACACACACACACACACACACACACACACACACATAGATATTTACATGTCTCTTTAAAAAGTCTCACACATGTATGTCAACCATGTATTATTTTAATGAATTTGAAAGCACACACATAATTGCTCACATGCATCTACACACCTGGGTAACCTCATCACAGATGCCATCTTATTTCCAGATGTTAAACTTTAAGATGGTCTATATAAAATATTCTTTTACTTATTATTCCCAGAATGAGAAGGTCAAACTGTTCTGAAATGTAACTAGTGGAGTAAAGCAAAAGGACAAGTAGAAACCGGTGGGGAGAGCTGTTAACACAAACATCAGCCTCGTGCAACTGGCCTAGTATTAGCATCCCCTCCCCTCTTCAGGTTTCATGGGTCAGAGAAAGCTTAGTTTTGGATTTTCTTTCTCGATCAGTGAACACCACTTTCTTTCTGATGGTATCACTACTGGGGAAAGTTTTTTGGTGGTGTTGATGTTTTCTGGCTTCCTGTAAATGAGTGTCTTTCCTTCTCCCTGGGTTTTTCTTCTGTCATTGTGTCTGAAATCCCATTGCAACCAGGTCTGATCATCCAGACGATGCCATTCCTAGTCTTAGCTTCTTCTACAAAAGCAGATGGTTGGTGGAACAAGATGCCTGGTCTTCTGGGGGAAGGTTCTCTAGTTGAGATCTTTCTGTGAAGATCCTATACACTAGAAGCTGCAGGGACACCTGAATGTTTAAGACTGGCTCTCTCTGCTCAAAGCATTTATGATGCAATTAGGAGACGGGGTAGGAAGCCCTTACTAGAGGTGACTTAGCAACCGGCATAGTGTGTGACATGCCTGGTGAGTGATTCAGACAGTAAGCCCTGTGGGAACCTGGAGAGGGAATCTTCAAGAAAGGCTTCCAGAGAGCAGGAAGGTGGAGCTTTTAAGCTGAATTTGGAATTAGAACTCTCATTCAGATATAATCCCTTTTGGGACAAGTAGAGGTTGATGAAGACATACCTGGGTGGCTCACTGTCATTTCTGTTGGGAGGGTTCCAGGTCTAGGAGCTCTGACTGTTCCTGAGGGTCCTGTTCTCCTTCCTCTCGCACCTCCTTTTCCGATCCCTTCTCTGCAGTGGAGCTGGTGGCCATGCCCCACCCCAGCCCCTGCCAGCTGTGGGAGGGGGAAGCAGCCTACGAAGGTGTGAAGACAGGGAGTCCTGAGCCCTTGTTTCAGTCCTACTACCGGCTTGCTGTGGGCGGTTCCCGAGTTCCTCCCGTCAGTGAACTCAACTGTCATTTAAGTCTCTTGCAAACTTCACTACTTTCACTCTCTGTAGCTCCAGCCCACCTCACTTTTGCTATGAGGGCTACCCCTCCCCAAGCAGCCATGCTACCCTTTCTACATTAAATCCATCCAGAGGAGAGCTGAAGCAAGAGTCATTTCTGTCTGAAGTGAAATTACTAACCTATTATTATGAGAACAGCCTGGGTTTGGATAGAAAACCCTTTGGTCTGAATCTTTGTGAGCTATAAATGTTGGAGGCTTTTAGAACCTTGTCCAGTAACAGAATGTGAGGGTCATGAGGCTAAGCAAAATGCTTAGTAATGATAACAGTGTAGCCGGTGGCTTGCTGAGCCATGGCTGTGTTCCAGGTCTGTGCTTACATTCATCTTCACAAATGACAAGGAGTGCCCTATTATTGTCATCCCCATCTTATAGTTGAGGGAACTGAGGCACAGAGGTTGAAGAATTTACCCAATGGCACATATCCAGAAAGTGGTGGAGATGGGATTTGAACTCAGGCAGATTTATAAACTATAGAACCAGGCATAGTGACACACGCTTATAATCCCAACAACTTGAGAGACTGAGGCAGGAAGATCGCAAGATTGAGGCCAGTCTCAGCAACTTAGCAAGACCCTAAACAATTTAGCAAGATCCCGTCATAAATTTTTTAAAATATTTTTTAAAGGGCTGGGGATGTGGCTCGGTGGTTAAGTGCCCCTGAGTTCAATCCCTACTACAAAAAAAAAAAAAAAAATACCAACAATGACAGAGTGTTGTTACTATTCCTAACTGATGTTTGAGAAATCTGACAGCTCTCACCTTGAAAATTTTCCAAAAGAATTTGGCTGGTCGCCAATGAGAGCTCTGGTTATGTTGGGTGCTACGCAACTCATTCCAGAGAAGCTAGGCTGGTCTTTTGTTTGTTTTCTGGTTTTGGGTTTTTTTGTTTGTTTTCTCACGCAGCAAAAACTACTTATTTGTGAGACTAAATGTGTCCCAGAGTCTCCATGAAGAAAAATGACTCTCCCAAAATCACACTGTGAATTAGTGAGCAAACTAGAGGTAGAAAACGGGTATCCTTAAAGAGGACTCTACCAAGCCAAAGAACATTAGCACTGGAAGGGTCCTGAGAGGGATCTGCTCATTTTAAAGATGAGAAAACAAAGGCACAGAGAGAAATATGGTCAACCCTGTGTGTCTGTGGGTGTCACATCCACAGATCCAACCAACTGTGAGTCAAAAATGTAATTATGCCTGTGATGATTGCATCTGTACTGACTGAATACATACAGACTTTGCTGTCATTACTCCCTAAACAATACAGTATAACAACTATTTCCATAGCATTTGCATTGCATTAGGTATTAGAAGTCATCTAGGGATGATTGAAAGCATATGGAGCATGTGCAAACACCACACCATTCTACATACGGGATTTGAGGTTGCACATTTTGGTATCTGCAGGGGGTCCTTTTCTACACCTCAATCCCCACTCCCCAACCCCATAAAAGGAAAGGCTAGATCAGGAATCCTCTGCTATTTCTTCCAGGTCTTTTTAAAAATCACATTCACAGCATCCAGTGGGGAACATATTTTTCTAAGCCCTTCTGCTCATGCCAATTTATTCAGAGTCAGGACAGTTTAGGGAGAGCTTAGTTAAGGATGCTTTTCTGATCCAGTTCCCTGTCGGGCCACTGTGAAGGAGGTCTCTGGAGCCCACTTAGTCACTCAGCAGCCACCAAATGATTCAGAACAGTTCGGCCAAGGTTAGCTTGATGTTTCTGGCTTGTTTCCTTAATTTGTTAGACTCCATCTCCCAATTTCTGTAGTCACAGACCTGACTGTACTTGTAGGCGGTGTGGAGCTCTGGGGTAGGAGGCAGGTGTGGGTTGTGCAGCCCTGCCTGGCAGATGGAGCTGGGCAGAGCTTCCAAGGAAGAGCTGTGCAGGCCCACTCGGCAGAGCCCCTGGCTCCTCGTGCAGTCTCCGGACACAGCTCTGGATACCTGAGCCCACTAACACTTAGCCACTGAGACCCACAGTGAGGCAAACAAGAGTAGCCTTGTCCTCAGGACAACTGAACTCAGCAAGTGTGACTCAGGACCTCCTTGACGGGACACTGAGCACTGAGAGGGGTCTCTCCTCTAGCAGGGACTGCACTAGGGGACTTCATAGCTTGTAAAAAGATTGGCTATGATGGAGCAGAAGTTTTGAAATTGTTGAATTATGTGGAAGACTCAGAGACAGCAGAGAGGTCCCGTTTGGCATTCTCTGGGCATGTTGGGAAAGATTGCTTGGCAGAGGCTGCATCTTTAGAAGGGGTTGGGCATTGGGGTTGTGAATTCTAAAGTAAGCTTACTCAGTTGCTTTCTTTATAGTAGTGGTTTATAAACGTCCAAGGTTACATTAGAATTGCTATGGATGGAGCCAGGGCTGGTATTGTGTGCTTGTAATCTGTAGGAGGCTGAGACAGGAGGATTGCAAGTTTGAGGCCCGCCTGAGCAACTTAGTGAGACCGTGTCTCAAAATTTTAAAAAAATAAAATAAAATAAAAAGGGGAGGGGATGTAGCTCAATGGTAGAGTGGCCCTGGGTTGAATGAGGTCTGAGTCCTTCCTGAAACCCTGAAGACAGAAATAGGAGCCTAAGTGGGTGGTGGGAGAGAGTGTGGTACAACCAGAAGCTCAAACTGGAATTTCTGTGATGATGCCTATGGGCATCTGAATGGCATGTATCCCCAATATGTGGGACCAATGTAGTGGCTTCCACGTGAGGGAGGAACCAGAATGCGTTTGTTATCTGCTCTGAATTAATCCCCACTTTGTAAATAAGTACTAAAATGCTGCTACTAACTAACCCACCCTTCTCCTGGGGTTCTTTGCCAGGAACAACACAAATGTGGAGTCGAACATGGTGTTCTTACCGCCCCCTCTTCCCTCCCTGTCCCCTGTGCCCACCTAAGATCATCTTCCCACACTCCCTCTGTCTTCTCTTGGTGAATTCTAACCCATCTTCAAGATCCATTCAAAAAAGACACTCTGTGGGTGTTCCTGGAGATAAATCTTATGACGACTTTTTTGCACAATTGTAGGAAATGTCAAAATGTATATGGATGTAAAACTCACGATGATTCTGTCGTTCACATATTTCTAACACTGATAGTTTTCTATCCAAACTTTTCTCCATGAGTTGTTGCTATTTGTAGAATTGGGATTATATATTATGCAAGATTTGAGAGCAAGACAAAACCTTTAATAGGTACAACCTTCCCTTTCCCACACCTGGAAACCAACCACTTACAGTTTTAATCATGTGTTCATGGCTAAATATTTCATTACAAGCATTTTCCTGTCATCAAATAATCTTCAAAAATAAGATTATTTCAAATGAAAGATAATCTATTATTAGTTTGCTTTTGCATATCATTTTTTTATACACAAAACTTACTAGGAGACCTTGAACATCACTTCACTTCTTTGCACCACAGTGAACAGATTTGCCAAATGGGGATAATAATCATTTCTATCTTATAGGATGCTATAAGGACTGAATGAGTTAATATAATCAAGGAGTGAAACTCAGTGGTAGAGCCCATGCTTAGTGCATGTATAAGGCCCTGGGTTCAATTCTTTGTACTGGAAGAAAGAGAAAGGGGTTGAGTGTGGAGAAACAGAGAAGGAGAAAAAGAAAGAAAGAAGGAATGGCACATATCCCCAATATGTGGGACCAATGTTGTGGCTTCTGCGTGAGGAAAGAACCAGGATGCATTTGTTATCTGCTCTGTCTTAATTTCCACTATTACAAAGGCAGTTAGAACACAGCTTTCCATGTTAATACTATGTTAGCTATTATCATTTATATACTATATATAATTATTAAATCTTCATTTATTGTCTGGTAACAGAAGTCATGAGTAATTTTGAACATACAAAATGGAAACGATATAAAACTTATTTCATATATTACCATATTCACAATGTATACACCAAACTGTTAATCCTGGCCAAGACAATAGAACTTTGGGTAATTTTTTCCAATTTTTTATGTATATTTTTTTAATTTCAAGGGGTTTCATCACACACAAGATTTTGTAACTTGATTTTCTTACCTCACGGTGTACTTTAAATATAAATAAGCACCAGACTGATTCTTCTTGTTCCTTTTTTGCTTAATTTCATTTCACTTTTAATTGGCAAAAACCAGTTGCACCTACCTATGGGATGCTCATTCTCTTCCATGGCTGCATGATTCTCTGCCCTATAGCTGTGCCACAACGTACCTGACATTCCCTTATCCATGAACTCTTTCTCCAACATTTTTACTATTACAAACAATACCACTGTGGACATTTTTACGTGGACATCTCTGTGTACTCACGTGAAGTTTTCTGTGGGAGAAATTCCTAGAGGTGGAAATACTGGCTCTGTGGGCTTGTAGAGGTTTAAAGGTGTTTTATACTTGTTGCCAAATTACCCTCCGCACAGGTCATACCCATTATACTCCCACCACTGGTGCATGTCAGCACTCGTTTTCCCACCGGGAAATGAGAACAACATGAGCCTGTCATCCTGTGCTTTAATGTTTGCCAGTCTAATAGATGTAACCTTTGTGTCATTGTAATGGTTTCTCTCCATGATTTTAATTTTCTTTTAATGGTAATGAGGTTAAAATCATTATCATGTTTATTGACCGTTTGTATTCCTTATGAAAAATCTCCTGCTCATTGCCCTTGATGGTCATGTGTTTCTTTTTGTCTTTTTTTTTTATGTCTTTGTAAGTATAATGTTAATCTAGTAAATCTCTATCTAGCATGTGGGTTGCAACTCTTTATCAATTTTCACTTTATCAATTTTGTTTCAATTTTTTTCTCCCTTGTCTTCAGACTGGGTAATTTCTACCTATCTGTCTTCAAGTTTATTCATCTTTTCCTCTGTCATCTTCTATTCTGCTATGAAGTCTGCCCGTTGAATGATTTAATTTTCAGTTAATTGACCTTTTTTCCAGTTAAAAAAATTCCATTTGGTTCTTTTCTAAATATTTTCTATTTCCCTGCCAAGGAGCTCCTGTCTTTTCATTCATGACTAGCATATTTTCCTTTATTTCTTTGAACATGGTGCTTTAAAGTCCTTGTATAATAATTTCAACATCTGCATAATTTTACAGTTCATCTCCATTGATTGTCTTTCCCTTTGAGAATAAGTCACATTTTTTTCTGGCTCTTTGCATGTTGAGTCATTTTAGATTGTACAGACTGTGTCTGTATTCTGTTATTTTGTTTGAGTAATCCACTGTGGGGAGACTCACTGCAAATCCTCTCACCTGTAAGTGAAGCAGCTCCAATCTCAGTTCTTTCCTTCATCTTCAGTTGCATTGTGTGTGATGTGTCTCATACATGTGTGATTCAGGGGTCACTCAGAGGCTGGGGTAGAGTTTATAGACAAACTTGGGGTACCTTTTCCCTGATTCTTTCTTTTCAGAACACTCCCCCTCACTCTCTAGCTATCCTAGTCAGCCCAGGATCTGTTTCCTGGGTCTTCAGGCCAGAAGGATATTGGGTTATCTATTTTAGAGTTTTTTACTATCCTTCACTTTTCCCTTACCATAGCCCCTCCTTGGGCAAAGTCACATAAAGTACAACTCATCCTCCAAGTTTTGACTCTCCTCCAGAACCTTTGGACTGTGTTTACTCTCATGTTGTTGTTTTTCTTTTCTTTTTCCTTTTTTTTTTTTTTTTTGCAGTATTTATTTCCACATTCAAAAGCGTCCATGTGTCCTATGTTTATCCTCCAAACCAAAAGCAGAGCTATGGGCTTTGTTTGTGGGGCCCGTGTCGCTGTAGCTGATTGTGCCTGGCGAGGGGCAAACAGTGACAGAAGTTTGCAGATAGGACACAGAGTGCTATTGTGGATGAAGATCTCCCCAGGGCTGATCTGGGTCGTGCTTCCATTCAGGCCTCAGCAAGAGAGTGTGTGTGTCCCTTGGCAGGATGTCACTCCTGCTGCAACTCCACTCACTGTCAGCCCACACCGGATACAGCGATGTCCCCAAGAGGATGCAGACTATCTGGCCATCTGCCTTCTATTCATTCTGCTCCCCAGAAAGGCAGTGGACCATGGTGGGCAGGGCTTTGGCTTTGAAAGTTAGGCATGTCTGGGTTCAGACTTTGACTCCGTCATTGCTAGCTGCTCAGTGTCTCTGAGCCTCAGTTTCCCCTTTTATGAAATGAATCTAAAAGTAGTACCCGCTTCACAGTCTGTGCGGATTCCCGTGGGACAGTGCTCACCCAACCCATTGTACAGTAGCTGGCACAGAGTTAACTCACCTGATGAGGACCAGGGTGCTCTGCTGCCAGGTCAGGGATGTGGTGTTGTGCCACTTGTCTGCTGTGTGACCTTAGGCAGGTTCTGCAGTCTCTGGTTCTATCTGCAGGAATTTCCACGTCTGGAATGAAGCCTGGTTTATACGAAATGACCTGGGCCCCATATTCAACGGATGGCAGGTGTTGGATTCTACCCCCCAGGAAAGGAGCCAAGGTAACCCTCTGCTGGCCCTGCTTTGGGCTTAGCTTCAAGTCATGAGCCTCCCCGTTATTTACAGCAGGACAGCGACACAAGTAGAAACCTAGGCCTCTCCCTCACTGCAAAGTGTAACACGGTTTTTAACACTGTTTTAAAAAATAGTTTTCCCCCTCCTCATCTCATCTGGCTCGGGCTGCTACTTAACATGGTGCCTCCTCTGCACCCCGTCTGGCTGCTACTCCCACGGGAGAGGCCCCGGCATGTGCCAGGTGACTTTCCAGCAGCTTGTCCTTCTCAGCACAGAAACCTCCTGGCTCCCGTTGGCCCTTGGGATTTATTCCACGTTCTCTGCTCTACCCCAGACCTCAGGATTGTGACCACAGCAGTCCCCTCTCCTCCCTGGGTGGCCTCACACACAGCTCTCCTTCCAACAGGCCACCGCATCTCTGTTCCAGGCCTGAACTCTGACCCCTGGCCTCTCCCCCTCCTCTCTCCCATCAGAGCTGGGGTCCCAGGCTCTCTTGGGGCCTTTCCTCTTGCTTTTCTTTCCTCCACGGCATGTCTTGTCTAGCACCTTCATTTTGAGTTGTTTCTTTGAAGCCTAAGCTACCTGTGCTGCGTGCCAGAGGAGGAAGGTGAAGATCAGGGCATAAGAGCTCAGAGAAGCAAGAGCTCCTGGGGGCTGGGCACTGGGGGAGTCTTCCAGGAATAAGAGAGCAATGACCTTGTAGGCCAGAGTGATTCGCAGAAGAAGAAAAGAGACAGTGGCCATGAGCACAAGACAGGGAAGACTGTCTTCTTTAGGAAACAGATCGACAGGCCTGGACCGGTTGAGATGAGGCACCCAAGGGAGGCTGGATGGAGCCAGGGTTAGGTAAGGGTGGAGTTGGGAGAAGGGTGCCATTGCAGAAAGATAGCAATGGGAAGGTGCCCGCTGAGTCCAGATGAGTCGGGCACACAGTCCCCACTGAAGGAGCTTGGCCAGGGCAGAGGCAGGGGGTTGGCATGACGGCAGAAGGTCCGCAGAGAAGCAGGCTCTGCAAGGCGGTGGCAGATGGGCCGGGCCTTAGCGTCTACGCACCCAACCTCTCGTCCCGGCCACCAGGAGTGTACCAGTGCGGCCCAGCTTCGGTGAACGCAATCAGAGAGGGTGATGTGGACCTGAATTTCGACATGCCCTTCATCTTTGCGGAAGTGAACGCTGACCGCATCACCTGGATCTATAATGCTTCCAATGGCAGCCAGAAGCAGAACGGCGTGGACACTCGCAGCATTGGCCAATTCATCAGCACCAAGGCGGTGGGCAGCTACTCTCGCATGGATGTCACGGAGAAGTACAAGTACCCAGAAGGTAAGAGGGCCCTGATGGCTGGCCCCACAAGGCTCCAGGGTGGGCAGGTAGTTTTGAGGGTGGAGAGGAGAAAAGGCCTCATTCCCCTGCCACCTTTCTCAGCTACTTCTGCCTGAATGGTAGGGTGGCTCCTTGGCATGGAATGTCCTTGGCAGTTGCCCTGACAGTGGGGACAGGAATGTCAATAGTAGCTGCATTGCCGTAGAAGTTTGCTTCAGGGCACAGGGAGCTGTCTGTCTGCCCAGCTCAGCTCCAGCTGTGTCTCCTTGTCAGTGCACAGCTGGGGGAAGCATTAGGACTGAACCTCACAGGGGGAGACATGTTACCCATGAAGATCCCCAAGGTTTGGGGAAAGATTTTCCTGTCCTCCTGCTCCCCTATCCTCCATTTGAAAACAAGAAAGGGACAAAGAAACCTAGAGACACAGGCCTGGGCTATGTTCATTTAGAGGCTTCCCAAAAAGCCAGATGAGGTGTGATCGCATGGTAAGGCCAACACTCGAGTCCCCAAAACCTCCAGCATGCACACCAGCGCTGGTCCTTGGGGTGGCCTTGAAAGGCCAGGTGTTATGGAGCTCCCTGCACTCCAGTTCCATCTGTTGCTTGGAAATTGTTTTGGGAACCAGCAGCATAGTGGTTGATTCTCGGTGGTGGCAAAAGCTCTGCCTGTGAAGGTGAAGTTCATGTTTAGAAATAGCCCAGAGTAATGTAGCACTTGTTCTAGCAGGCCGTGGTCACTCCTTAATGGCTTCAATGGCTCACTCTTTCTGAAATGTTTGGAAATAGTTGATGCATTGTTCCTTGCAGCTGATTCCCAAGGTCAAGAGGAGAACTCTTGCAAAGGTGCTCACAGTGCCCCCTAAAATAAGCTTGACATCTTTTGAGCAACTTCTGGTTCTTCTTGGTGTTGTCCAAAGTTTACAGAAGAGGAAAGCTGAGACAGGGCCTGACCCCTGTGCCAGAGATACGACCCTTCTGAGTGGCGATCTTTGTGGAGATTTTTGAGAAATACCTCTAGGGTCATGAGATTGATGGCCTCAGTTTGGCCTCCACCTATCTCTGCAGGCTATCCCCAGAGTGGAGGTCAGATGAACCTTCTGTCAGTCCATAAGCATGCAGGGAGCCTGTCAAATCTAAAAAAAATAAATAATTAGAGCCAGGGTTCTCCAAAAATAAGTTATATTTATTTGGGAATGGCAGAGCATTGTAATGGGAATACACGTACCATAGTGAACGGTGGGTGTGTGCAAAGAGAGTGAGAGAAGGAGACGTTTTTTAAGGCAAAAAACAAAGATTACATCAGATATTTTGATGCAATAAACTTTGGGCAGAATGATTAATAACCAGAGTGACATCAGTCCAAGGGTTAACAGTCGCTGGGAAGATGTCCTTGTAGAGGTCATTTTTGTGTCTGGCTGTGGTGGCCTCTGTGAAAACTCTTGGTTCTGGCAGAGTCTTTTGAGTTCGTTGCTGTCAGTCCATCATACATGAGAATTCTTTCTTCAAAATCTGTCAGCTTCATTAAATTATTATTATTATTATTATTATTTTGGTTAGGGTTGACACCAGCAACTCCATTTTTATGCTGACAGCTCTCCCCAGTCATTCTTGAGTGCCTGCTTCAGGCTTGGGCCCGGGGCATGAGACAAGAGAGAGCACGGCAGACAGGGTCCTGGGGGAGGCAAATGGAGAAGGAGGGTTTTTCAACAATGTCTCTGTCGGTGTACAGAGAACAAGTGACCTAGGACAGAAAGTGAACTCCAGTTCTACCACTTATAACTATGCAGCCTCAAGCAGGTTTCATATGATCTCGGATTCCTGGTTTCCTCACTGGGAACATGGGAATGGCAATACCTGTCTTCAGTTGGATTTAAATATAGGGCTGTACGCAGTGTGCCAAGTGCAGTGCCTGGCATCTACAGAGGACTTAATAAATAGTGTGGCAGCCTATCTTAACATCTGTAACCTCCCTGGAATAATGACTTCCCAAGGCACTGCTTACTTGCATATAGGAGCCTATGAGTCTCCTATTATTCCTGCACCTTGATCCTGCTCTTCCGGGGCTCTGGCTAACCCAGCCAAACCCCCTAAGCAATGGAGAGAGGCTAAGTAGGGGGTCCCTGAAAAACTCCTGGAAATGCCTCAGCCCTGGCATGAGCAAGACAGATCACCCTGACCAGTGTTGCCCGGTTTTTCTTACCTGATAATACCAGCTTGTCTCTGAGGGCCCCAGGGAGGAAAAGCTCATAAAATGGGTTGCTAAGCATTTACACAACAGCAACACCACAGGGAGAAAACAGCAGCAGGAAGTTTAGTATTGAGTAAGCCCAGCAGGTGACCTATATAGGCATCTAAGCGCTGAGCCTCATTGTGCAAACACACCTGCTTGGAGGTCCCGGGCATAGAAGGCTCAGATCCCTGCTCGCTCCCAGCTCGCTCGCAGCCCTGGGCGTGGACTGACAGCGGACCAGACAATGGAAGGGCACCCAAAGGAACCCAGCCTACCAGCAGCTCTTGGCTCGGGTAATCAATCTGGCTGCCTCCTTTCAATAGGGCGTGTGGGAGGAACCTTAGGCCAGGGCTCTAGAAGGTCCCTTCCTCCTCTGCATCTAATCCCCAGCGTGGCTTGGCCCAGTCACCTCTTAGCCTGATGTGCTTGGATCCCTCAGCCTCTGAAGTCTCTGCCTATAACCTACAGGCAAGAGCTCACCAAGTTGTAAAGTGCTGACCATAAGTCACCTGGCACCTTAGAAATGTCACAGGTTGGTTGAGGGAGCAAGGGTCCATCGGGTGGCCTACAGAGGTCAACGTGGTCATTCTTCCAGATTCCTGGGAGAACTCTCCTTCTCCTTCTCCAGGTCCAGGCAGGGAGGCTCACGCTGCCTAGCCGGCCTCAGGCTGCAGCCTGGCAGAGGCCAGCAGTTGGTTACTCAGCTCTTATTGCCCCCAGAGCCCTTTTTGGGTACATAATTGTCACTCTCCAAGGGTTCCTTATCCCCCTCATATTGGGCAGCACCCTCAACTGCATCAGAATCAGAAAACCCACCCTTTTATTCATAACTTAGAACCATACCAGCCACGGGAAGTTCTAGTTGACTGGCACAGACACAAATGTCACTCTCTGACTTTTAAAGTGCCTTTAGACACAAGGCAGGGGAACACAGGGAAGTGTTTTTGAATTTTTTTTTTTTAACAAAATCAGGTCTAAATCATAACTTTGGTTTTTGTATTTTGGTTTTTTTTTTCTTATGAATTCATCAACCTTTTTCAGCTCAGTTTTTATTATTTACTTTAAAATGGCCTGTTAAGTCCCATAAAAACCTTTAAAAAAAAAATAAAGCAAGGTATGGTGGTCTACACCTGTGCTAAGGCAGGAGGATCACAAGTTTAAGGGTAGCCTGGGTAATTAAGTAAGATCCTGTCTTAAAATTAAGGCTGTGTGGTAAGATCACTCTGGGTTCAATTTCCAGTACCAGAAAAAAAGAAAAAAATCTAACTTGACACAAGAGAATGATCAAGCCATATAGTAATCTTGGGCAGGAGCAGACCAGCTTCATGACAATATTGACCCGATTGGAGAAAGGACCCGAGACCAGCAGCCTGGGAGCCTCGGTTAGGAGTATGAATGGATATGTTTCTTTGAGTGTCATGGTGGCAGAGCAGTAGAGCCAGTGTTAGTTCCAGGACCCCCCTTCCAGGTAGGCCACTGACCTTCGTCCCAGTTGCTGCCACCTCTCTGAGATGCTGCTGCCTTTTCCCAACACCCAGGTTCTGGTGAGGAACGACAAGTGCAACAACGGGCAATGAAAAAACTGAAACCCAGTGCGTCCATCAGGCCAACATCGGCCGAGAGTGAGGAAGGAGAGGGGTCGTCGCCCAGCATCTCTGGAAGGTTCAAGGTCAACGGTGTACTGGAAGTAGGCCAAGAAGTCAGCCTAGTCCTGCTGCTCAAAAACCAGAGCCAGGACAGAAAGACGGTGGCCGTGCACATGACCGCCTGGACCATCGTCTACAATGGCACACTTGTCCACGAGGTGTGGAAGGACTCTGCCATCATATCCCTGGAATCCGAAGAAGGTAACTTGTCCTCTAAGCGGTGCAAAGTAGTTAGCAGTCTGTGGAGAACAGGAGGGTTCCTGCTGGGCTCCCGGTGAACTAGCTGATTGGGGACAGAGGAATGAAGGAGGATAAGCCTTAGATTTGAGTGCTTGGCAGTTACCATCTCTATGAACAGCATTAAGTCATGATGGTATCGACACCCTAGGAGAGGGAGGGAAGGAGACGTTGGCAGCTCATAGCCACAGCACAGGCATACACACCCCAGCAATTTGCAGAGTGTCCTTAAATACTACTTTGTTCAAATCTTCTCCAAGAGGGTAGATATTAGTGTCCACGTTATGGAGACAGAAGTAAGGTTTAGAGATGGCATCAAAGCCCGTGAGTGGCAATACCAAGGTCTTCATCCTTGGTTTCCAGAGCCTGTTTGCCATGTCACCATTCCCACCTTCACCCTGCCCCCACCTCACTTCCCCTCCCAACGGATCGCTTTTCAGGTTCAGCCCCAGGTGGACTGTAGTATACCACAGGGTCTCGAAGCCTCCCCAGTGCCCCCCAGAGCTGCCAGGGTGTGAGTGGAGTTCTTGATTCCTGACAAAGTGACAGGTTTTCTTAGAGCTTTGAGCATTTGGGAGGAACAGTGACTCCTTGCCCCAGGGTGGTGCAGGTGGGGAGGGAAGAGGCGGAGGAGGAAGCCAGCCGGGTTTTGTGGGATCAGAATGCAGGTATGCCCACACTGGCAAAATCCTTCCAGCTGTGATGAAAAGTTTGGACTTACAAAGCCGATTAGCAAGGGCGGGGTAGCTATTTGCTTCACATAATGGAAACTGATTAATGACGTAGCCCATCAGGAAAGAATTGTGTCTTCAGGGAAATTGAGATGTGCTTCACCTGTCAGAAGGCAGCATCCTCCACCAGTCTCTTGTGGCAGATTTTGGTAGAAATGTTTTAAATATCAGAAACAACTTTTTAAAATGTTTTTAAAATTTGTTCTAATTATTATACATGACAGTATAGAATGCATTATGACACATCATACATAAATGGAGTATAACTTCTCATTCTTCTGGTTGTACATGATGTAGAATCCCACTGGTCATGTTGTCACATATGCCCATAGGGTAATACCGTCTGATTCATTCTACTATCCTTACTACCCCCTCCTTTCACTCCCCTCTGTCTCATCCAAAGTACCTCTGGTTTTACCTAGCCACCCACTCATTGTGAATTAGCATCTGCATATCAGAGACAACATTCGGCCTTTGGTTTTTTGAGACTGGCTGATTTCCCTTAGCATAATATTTTCCAGCTCCATCCATTTACTTGCAAATGCCAAAATTTTGTTGTTCTTTAAGGCTGAGTCATGTTGTATTGTGTATATACCACATTTTCTTTATCCATTCACCTGTTGAAGGGCACCTAGGTCATTCCATAGTTTAGCTACTGTGAGTTGAGCTGCTATACAGAAAAGGCACACTGAGAACAGTCATGGCATTGCTGGTGGGACTGAAAATTGGTACAACCATTCTGGAAAGCAGTATGGAGATTCCTCAGAAAATTTAGAAGGGAACCACCAATTGATGCAGCTATCTCATTCCTCTGTATACTATATTGATGCAGCCACATCAGTGTTTATTTCTTTTTTTTAATTACAGCATTACAGTTATACATAGTAGTTGGGTCCATTTTGACAAAATCATACATGCATGGGATTCGATTTCAATCCTGTTTGTCCCTCCCTCCCTCCTCTTCTCTTTCTCCCTCTTCTCCTTGCTCTACTCTATTTATCTTTCTTTCGCTAGTTTGTTTTTGATTGCTGCTTCCTACATACACATACAGGTGATATTATTTACCTTTGAAACTCAAAGGAGGATTTTGTATTGTTTGTTTTTCTGGGGTTTGTGTGTGTGTGTGTGTGTGTGTGTGTAGTGTGTGGTAGTAGGAACTGAACCCAGGGCCTCACACATGATAGGGAAACATTCTACCACTGAGCTACACCCCCAGCCTTGGAAGAAGCTATTTCTGGAGGCCAAAAGTAATCCACATAAGGGAAATGGGTTCAGAAACGTCCTTTAGCAAGAGACAGTGGACCAAAATGGGAAAGAGGTGGGGAGGCAGGCATAGTGGTCCTGGAGACTTGATGCTGTCTAGTGCTTGCTGATTGATCCTAGGTAAGTCTCTTGCCCTCTCTGAACCTCAGGTTTGGATCAAGACGGTTCAGTCACTGAGAGGGTTGGAGTATCTGATGCAAGGGACTGTCTTTTCCATTCTGGGGACAGTCATGGCAAATTCTCTCCCTGGATCAAAAGCAGCACAACTGCATGAGGGACAGCAGTGTCCAGGGCCGTCAGAGCAGAGGCAGTGCCTGTGGACTGCAGTATCAGAATAGGAGATGCCCTGAACCCTGGAGAGGAGCTGGACAGATGGACTCCAGCCAGGGAAAGCAGTTCCATGTAGGGAACAAGAGGCAGGTGGAGAAGGGCAGACGTGCCTGTTCTGTGTAAGGAATGATGAGAAACGTGGAGGTGAGCCGGACACAGCAAGGCAGGGCCAGCTGAGGGTCTGGGCTCCATCTCTGAGCTAGCCAAAAGCCATGGAAGATTTTTATTTTAACATGAAAGAGGAGCAACATGATTTAGAAAAATGTGGCCTTGCAAAGCTTTGTCACTGGCACGTGGATGATTCCAAAGCAGGAGAGCCCAGAAGCGGGTTGGGGAAGATTTTGCAATAGAATCCCAGGTCATTAGATGACTGGGAAGGCTCGAAGTGCTTCTTTAGCTGATACCCTGGCCTCCCTCCCCGGTTATTATTGTGTTGTCATCCTCATTGTTACTGCCATTAGGCCATCAGTTAACATTCCCACTCCTCTCTGCCTCTTTAGGAGGAAACTTGCCTTTAACATTTTCCAGAGCAGGGGGTGAGGAAGCCCATCCTTTCCAGAGTCCGCCCAGCTCCCTAGAGCTCTGGGCCCTCCCTGGGCCCTGCCCTGGAGCCCACCCAGCACGGGGCCTGGCCCAGGGAGGACTCTCCTCCCTGCTTGACAACCAGGGTCCATCCACACCCTCCCTCCATTCCCCTGGCTTCTTCTTACAGAAGTGCAGCATCCTGTGAAGATCTCGTACGGTCAGTATGAAAAGTACCTGAAGGCAGACAACATGATCCGGACCACAGCCATATGCAAGCTGGCCGATGAGGACGAGGTGGTGGTGGAACGGGACCTCGTCCTGGACAACCCCGCGCTGATCCTGGAGGTAAGGGGATGGGAGGAGTGCCTCGGCCCCCAGCGCCCAGCCTCCGCAGCTCGGCACAAGCGGCAGAGAACCAGGCTCAGCTTGGCTCAGGTCTCTGCCAAATGCATCAGCCCAGGGCCTGCTCAGGCCTCAGTGTGTGCTTCCTGTCTGGAGAGATAAACAGGCACAGTTGCTGGCTGTTTCTTTGGTTCCCATTCTAGACCCACTGGGGACATCAGTGAGGCAGGACTGGGGAGGGGCTCGCTTCAGCCTGTTGGACCATTACCGAGCACGTGCTGGACTCTGGGTCATGCTGGGCCCAGGAATCCCAGAGGCCCAGGCTCAGGAATCCCAGGGTCCACGGAGAGCTCCAGTGACCTTCCATGGCTGCAGCTCAGTCACCGCCCATGGATCAGATAACTAGCAGACTTGACTCCCCGCATCTCCCCAGCCTCTGGAGCCCAGGGGTTGTGGAATCATGGACTCTTAGAAGCCAAATCTCAGGTTCTTATATCCTGTCATTCACATGTAGGTAAAGCAAGGCCCAGAGACAGGGGAACAACCAGTTCCTAACAGAGCTGGGGCTAGACCTCTGGCCCCTTCCCCTAAATCTATGTCCTTTCCAAGGTTGGTCGCCATAGCAGCATCCAAAGTGGCTGAGCCCTAGGACCCTCTCTCTGTGTTCAGAGCTGGCCTTTGTCTGCAGACTCTGCTCCCAGACTCCCTCCTAGGAGCCCTGCCATGCAGGGGCCCCAGCTACCACTCTGTCCCTTCTTTAGTGCCAAGAAGGAGCATCTGTGTGGACTCTAAGCCTGTCTGTCCCCCTACAGCTTCCCCAGTGCCTGGATGGCCCATGTGAGGACAGCAGCCAGGGGCAGTAATTCTGACCTCAGGCTGAGCAAACAAATGGGCTCATATCTGGGCCTCAGGATGTATCAGCACCGACACTCTCTCATAGGGATAATAAGACACTTCCCTTTCAGGGTGCCATTTCCCCTGGGAAGCCTTTCCTGATGCCCCCAAATCAAGCCTGCTCCCCAGTTATACACTCCGCCTGCCCGTCTTCTTCCTTCACTGCATTTGTCCCAGCTGAAATCTCTTGTTTATTGGTACAATGATTTGCTCCCCTCCCTGACTGTAAACCCAAGAAGGCAGGTGCTCCCTGTGTTCCAGGCTTTTCACTGTCCCCAGGGCACAGTTTCTTAGTAGATAATCAATATTTGTAAAACACAAAGCACGCCCTCCTTGGGTCATGATTGGCCAGAGCTGTTGGTCTGGGCTCGCATTCTTCCCCCCAACCCCCACCCGGGGGGACAGATGGCATTGTCAGTCCCCTCATGTCCCCTGTACTGTATAGCCCTCTTGCTTCACAAGGCTTTGCCAAGACACTCTCCCCATCTCTGTTGACACAACGGATGGCCAAGTGTGGATGGCCAAGTGTCCGTTCCAATGCCTCAGGCTAGAAAATGACGGTGGCTAGCAGCCAGCTCAGTTATGAAAACATTTTGCCTTAAAATGATGAGTGTTGAAAGGAAGCTGTTTTTCCCCATTCCATTCCTTTATCCAATATCTTCAGACCTCCTTAGAGTTATCTTTTATTCAACATTTTAACCCTACGTCTTTTGGATCTCCATATCAAGGTTACTTTATCTTTACAAAGGAAATCAGAACACGCACAGGCCAGAAGGGTCCCATCGTCAACCTTTAATCTTTATGAAACGCCCCTGAGTTTCCTTCTTACACTCATGTTCTCTCCTCGAAGCCTCCAGACAATGGAGACGTTCTTGACTTGATTGAACAAATCAAGGCCTCGCTCACTCAGAGCACGGCACAGATTTTTAAGCTCGCCAAGGTGATTTGTATGAAAAGATAACAATTTGGGTAAAATCCCATTATCTCATCTGGCACTGATTGACAATTAGCATTGAGGACCTTAGGTGGTGGAGTCAGAAAGTCGAAATACTGTTCCAAAAGTTGACATCCTCCAAATCTGTGACCTGTGGTCCTCAGGCTCTCCTTCCGGTGTATTTACAGATCAGGGTTAGTAGGAGGAAAGATGATCAATAGCAATAAAGAAAAAGAAACAACACGTGGAGATCTCAAATATCGATGGAAAAACTATGACATCTACTTATGTTATATCCTAACAGCCTAAAATAGTGCTTCACTCTTAAAATTATACCATACACCGTCTCGAGACCACTTGAACTATGCACAAATTATTGGTCAGTATTGCAAGGCCTGTCAAAAGGAGCAAAGGCTCTGGAACCTGCTAGGCCCTGCTGCTCCTAGTGTGTGGATTTCCCAAGTTATTGCATTAGTCTGAACACTTTGTCACTATGGAATGAGTTGCTGTGAGGACTAATGACAAGAAAAACAAAAACCAAACTAACAAAACACAGCAACCTCCCGTGATCCTAAAAGCAGAAGAAAAGAATTCCCCCAGCCACACAATTTCCATAATACTTTCCTCCCTGTCTGTGATCTCATTTGGTCCCTTCTAGTACAGGAGGGATAATTGTCGGTCTTTACCAGATATGTCTGTCCAGAGTGCTGGCCAGCTCTTTGCAGAAGGATAACAGCTTTCTCTGGGCGTGGTGGCACATGCCTGTAATCCCAGCAGCTTGGGAGGCTGAGGCAGGAGGGTTGCAAGTTCAAAGGCAGCCTCAGCAAAAGCGAGGCACTAAGCAACTCAGTGAGACCCTGTCTCTAAATAAAATACAGAATAGGGCTGGGGATGTGGCTCAGTGGTCGAATACCCCTGAGTTCAATCTCCAGTACCCGCCCCCCCCCAAAAAAAAAGGACAATAGCTTTCATTTTAAATAGTCCAGGTTACTTTTCTGACCCCGAGTCCTGGCTTCACTTTCTTTATCCTTGACTGGTCAGTGTTGGAGCCCTACCCAGACCACAACATGACACACCCAGAACCGAAGTTTGGAAGGAAATCAGTAGACTGGGCTGTCATCAAAGAAGAGTGGCATGGATGGAGGTGGGGGGACCTAACACCTGTGACAAGGAGTGAAGGGCTCTGGCTGTGAGTCGGGATCTGAGCAGCCTCAGAAGCCATGGGGCCTCTTTGGAAGAGAGAGTCTGGCTTCAAGGCGAAAAAAAACAAGCCCAATTACTGGGAGGTTCAAGAAAATGTTATTAAATTCAGCATGAAAAATGTCCTAACACCCCAACAGCTGGCAGTTGGGATGAGCTGTTCTGGGAAGCAGGGGGCTGCCCTTCCCTGCGGAGTAGCAGAGAAGCCCTCCTGCGCTCTGCTGCTGCAAGAGACCTTCTCTCCCTCCGAGCCTAGTTTTCAGCTCCATAGCATGGGGTTGATGGTGCTAAGAATCCCCTACATGGATGTTGAGGGCCATCGGGCACTTAAGAGGGCTAAATAAATGGCCCTCCCCTTTTCAGGATGTTCTCAGTGACACCTCCCCCATCTGTCACCACCTCATCCTGCCCCGCCCTCACCACGTGGCCGTTCTCCTCCACAGGTGCTGGATCAGGCTCAGGTGCAGAAGCCTTTGAATGTGCAGATGATCTTCTCCAACCCCCTGAACGAGCCGGTCAAGGACTGTGTGCTGATGGTGGAGGGCAGTGGCCTGCTTCGGGGCAACCTCAAGATCGAGTGAGTCCCAGGCTAGAGCGGCCAGTGGGGGGATGGCAAGAGAGGGACAGAAGGCCTGCCCTGGGCAGGACAGACAGAGCTCTCTCTGGCCTTGAGTTCTTCACTTTTTTTGGTGGGGGGGGGGGGGGGGGGGGGGGTGGTGAAACTCAACAATCTGCATTTGCATTAGGTTTGGGGGTTCACCAGTCCTGAGCTCCTGGGAAGTCCCAGTCGCCAGAGCTAAGAGCCAGCCCTCAGGGCCCATGCTTACAGGGCCACAGATCTTCCCGCACAGTCCCCTGTTGGGTGTCATAGGGCTAGAGGGTCCAGGTGACCAAGAGAAGCAGCTGGAGGGAGCTGAAGAAGTGGTCAGGGTTGGGGTCACAGAAGGCCCATGGGGCCCCAGGTCTGTGTCTCTCACATCAACACTGCTCTGTACCCTTCCCCATCAGCGTGCCAGCTCTGCGCCCCAAGGAGCAGTCCAAGGTCCGTTTTGAGATCCTGCCTACCCGGAGTGGCACCAAGCAGCTGCTGGCTGACTTCTCCTGCAACAAGTTCCCCGCCATCAAGGCCATGCTGTCTATCGATGTGGCTGAGTAAAGGGCCCCGGCACCCTCCCTACAAACCTGGGTACCACGCAGCAGGGACGCTCACCCGTGGAGTGAGACCCCTGCCCATGTTGCCCAGACTCCACCCTCGGAGGCTGCCGGACATGAACTTCCAGCACATCCCCCATCAACTCCGGGCCAGGCCTTAATCGCTGGCCTGTGACTTAATCATTTTTGCACATTCCCAGCTGCTGCCCCCGCTGCAGCTTCCTGCTGTGAACCCCATGACCCTGCTCACCCTTCAAGCAGGTCAGAGCACCGACCCAGGCACTCTCCAAATGGATACGGGGAGGAGCCAGTCTGGACTGCTTGGTGATCCCCAGCGTGCAATTGGGACACATCTGCTCCGCCCTTGGGTCACCATGGACGGCAGGGAATGCTTAGCTGATCTGCTGTAGCGTAACATCCTTACACTCAAAATAAATAAGTGCAATCACATGGCAACAACTCTAGCGACTGCTGTTTTGCCTGGGCTGGTGGAGGAGACAGAGGGGCCAGGGTCAAGTCCTTGTGGAGAAAGGATGAACTTGGGGGAGGCCCTGTCCTCTGTGTTCCAATGCCTGTAGGAGGTGGAGTTCTTCTGTGGGGCTCCAGGTGCAAAAATAGGAAGACATTTCAAGCCAATTCATGGAAAGATTTCTAACATGAGGTCTAAAAACAGATAAGGCTGCCTTAGGAGAGAGTTTCTGGTCACAGTAGGCTCCAAGCACACCCTGTGTGCTGGGCAAACTCTTTTAAAAAATGTCTCTACATGTTTCCCCATTTTCTGTTGCTGTAACAAAAATTCCTGAGGCCACATAATGTTCAAAGAAAAAAGAAACACTTGACTCACCATTTTGGAGGTATCAGCTCTGGTGAGACCTTCATGGCAGATGGCAGGAGTATATGTAAGAGGGACTGTCTTGCTCTGTTAAAGCAACTTGTTCTCATGAATATTAACTTGAGGTTCCAGGAGAACTACCTAATCCCGTCAGCACCTCCCGGTGACCTAATGGCCCCCCAGAATCTCCCTCCTTCTTAAAAGTCCTTCTAGCTCTTAACACACGGCCACCCTGGGAACCAAGCCTCCAGTCTGTGAACCCAGACCACAGCACCTCCTGGGTGCCTCGCCCAGGACAGAGGCGCCACTTCAGCTGGCCACACAGTGCTGTTGACCAGAACCTTCTCTGCCTTCACACGTGCTCCTCAAAGATTCCTCAGTCCTTGCCCCTTAAAACAACCCGAAGCAGATTCCATAGCTTTCCTGTCACTTGCTCTGGCTAATCCCTTTGTGGCAATTCTACGGCACTCTCCCAGTTAAAGGGATCCGTCTGGTCTAAATAGAAACCTTGACTCCACATCAGCCCAAGACCTCTCCCCTCCTGCTCAGTTCAGTCCTGCCCCAGGCTTGTGAAGGGGGCACGGTTGTCCTAGTCATCCCTCTCTTCCTTCCTTGCTGGCTCCTTCAAAGCCAGAGCAGTGGAGGGAGACTCAGTGGCAAAGGTCCACTTCCACTGGTGCTGAAGTCGCGGGGCGACCAATCCCTGACCGGGCAGTATTTCATTGCAGTCTCCCTACTGACATGTTTCCTGATGTGGGCCAACGTGGCCCTCTCGGTTCTGGCCCTGGAAGTACAGCCCCCCACCCAGGTGCCATGGAAGTTCACGGTGGTGCTTTCACGATGGTGGCCCACTTCATGGGGGCCATTGGCCCTTGGGAAGCTCACCCCATCTTGCCCCTCCAAGCAATAGACCAGTGGGCTGCCCTCAAACGCCCTGTCGTCTGCCTGCAGTTCACGCAGTTGCCCGAATCTCCTGAGGGAAGTCAGCAGCAGAATCTGTGTCCACATTTGGCCCCCATGTTAAATGCCCCCAGGAACTCCCACCAGGCCCCCACTCAGATGACTGAGCACAGCAGGCCCCCAGCTGCAGAGCGAGGTGCGCTGTGACGCCTCTTTAAACATCTTCCCCCTCTCTGTGGACTCTTGGGGTAGCCCTTTGCCTTGGCTTGGGGATAGGGGCATTCTATTCCTCATAGACCCTGCCCCAGACCCCATTGAGGATCATCTGTGTAAAACAGACAGACTCCCTCTGCTCTGGATTCTGACTGAAAGAAATCCCAGAAATTTCTATCTCCTTCCATTCATGGGAGGCTTACCCCAGACAAATACCCTCAAGCATCATCTCCACCAGCCAGCATTCCTTGGGGCTACACTAATTACCAGCCACAATAATTTTTCCTCATTTCACCATCTTTCCTGCCCCCATGCAACCCCCCCACCCTCCCTCTCCTTTGCCCAATCAAAGTTCCTCCACTTTACCATGCCTTCCCCCTCCCCATTATGGATCAACATCAAAATGCATTCTGTTATCATATAATAACAAATTAAGAAAAAAATAATTTTTCTACCCCTTGAATTGGAGATGAACCTCAGTGTTTGGCCTGCTTCGGCCAATAAAACCTGGCAGAGGTGAGATGGTGTGAATTCTCAGAGCCAGTCCCTTGAGAAGCTTTGTGTACTTCTGTTCTCACCCTCTTGGGACAGTGCCCAAGATCACTTTATGAGAACACCTGATCCATTCTTGTGTCAACCATGGATATGTGTCAATCCTTTGTCCCTTCAAGAAATACCTTTTCAATAAGTGTAATTCATCACATCAATAGATTTATAGATAGGAATCATATGATCATCTCAACAGACACAGAAAAAGCATTTGACAAAATACAGCACCCCTTTATGTTCAAAACACTAGAAAAACTAGGGATAACAGGAACATATCTCAACATCGTAAAGGCTATCTACGCTAAGCCCTGGGCCAACATCATTTTAAATGGAGAAAAATGGAAGGTATTCCCTCTAAAAACTGCAACAAGACAGGGATGCCCTCTCTCACCACTTCTATTCAACATAGTCCTTGAAACAGTGGCCAGAGCAATTAGACAGATGAAAGAAATTAGAGGGATATGGATAGGAAAAGAAGAACTCAAATTAGCACTATTTGCTGATAATGATACCTCTGGTTGTCGGGGATGAGTCCTGCTTCCTCACATGTTGCAGTCTGAACATTAGAGAAGCCGGCCGAGGCAAGCTTATGAAGCAGGGTTTATTTAAAAAGGGGTAACATAGACTTCTCCCGGGAGGGAGAAGGGGGCCATAGCTGGTATCCTGGTACCCCAAGAAGCGAGGTGTTCTGCCCTTTTTATATGTCCTAGGCTTCCTCTGCTCTCCTGCCTTCCCCCACCCTTATATTTCTCCTTTCTGCCTACATGACTAGGCCCAGGAATGCTCCGTGGGATGCCCAAAGGTGGGAAACAGGTGGGCTGAAGGGGGAAGGGCAGGATGGAGCAGCCCAGGACATATTAATTCACAACTTCTAGCTCCCTGTAGGGAGGGTAAATTCCTGGGACAGGATACCTTGGCAACAGGTTGGAGCAGGGGCAGGTTCTGGATAAGGGTGGAAGAAGGGCTCTGAAGGAATTAACATTCCAATCCCTCAGGGGACAGTCTCCAACTTCCCGGACTCACTCAAAATTGGCCTCCTGGATCCGACCTGACTCGATTTACCTATCTATACTGACTGCCTGTCTAATTCTGGCTTCAATAATATGACTCTATACCTAGAAGACCCAAAAATTCCACCAGAAAACTTCTAGAACTAGTAAATGAATTCAGCAACGTAGCAGGAAACAAAATCATCAGCCATAAATCAAAGGCATTTCTGTATATCCGTGCAAATCCTCTGAAAAGGAAATGAGGGAAACTACCCCATTTACAAAAGCCCCCCCCCCCCCCCAAAAAAAAAAAAAACTTGGGAATCAACACCGAAAGAGATGAAAGATCTATACAATGAAAACTATAGAGCCCTAAAGAAAGAAAACAAAGAAGATCTTAGAAGATGGAAAGATCTATCTACCTTGCTCTTGGATAGGCAGAATTAACATTGGCAATATGACCATACTACCAAATGCACTATACAGATTTAATGCAATTCTGATCAAAATCCCAATGGCATTCCTCATAGAAATAGAAAAAGCAATCATGAAATTCATCTGGAAATATAAGAGACCCAGAATAGCTGAAGCAATCCTTAGCAGGAAGAATGAAGCAGGTGACATCACTATACCAGACCCTAAATTATACTACAGAGCAATAATAACAAAACAGCATGGTATTGGCACCAAAATAGACTTGTAGACCAATGGTACAGAATAGAGGACACACAGACTAACCCACAAAATTACAATTATCTTATATTAGACAAAGGCACCAAAAACATACATTGGAGAAAATATAGCCTCTTCAACAAATGGTGCTGGGAAAACTGGAAATCCATATGCAACAAAGTGAAATTAAACCCCTATCTCTCACCATGCACAAAACTACACTCAAAGTGGATCAAGGACTAGGAATTAAATCAGAGACCCTGCATCTAATAGAAGAAAAAGGCCCTAATCTTCATCATGTCGGATTAGGTCCCAACTTCCTTAGCACAAGAATTAAAATCAAAAATCAATAAATGGGATGGATTCAAACTAAAAAGTTTCTTCTCAGCAAAAGAAACAATCTGTGAAGTGAATAGAGAACCTACATCTTGGGAGCAAATGTTTACCCCTCACACATCAGATAGAGCACTAATCTCTAGGGTATATAAAGAATCAAAAAGCTAAAAATAAAAAAAACAAAAACAAATAACCCAATCAATAAATGGGCCAAGGACCTGAAGAGACACTTCTCAGAAGAGGATATACAATCAATAAATAAATATATTAAAAAACTAGCAATTAGAGAAATGCAAATCAAAACTACTGAAAGATTTCATCTCACTCCAGTCAGAATGCCAACCATTATGAAAACAAACAACAGTAAGTGTTGGCAAGGATGTGGGGGAAAAGGCACACTCATACACTGCTGGTGGGACAGCAAATTGGTGCAGCCAATATGGAAATCAGTATAAATATTCCTTGGAACACTGGGAATGGAACCACCATTTGACCTAGCTATCCTTCTCCTTGGTCTATACCCAAAAGACTTAAAAACATATTACAGGGACACAGTCACATCAATGTTTACAGCAGCACAATTCACAATAGCTAAACTGTGGAACCAACCTAGATGCCCTTCAGTAGATGAATGGATAAAATAAATGTGCCAATTGAATATTCAAATGTACTCAATTGAATATTACTCAGCAATAAAAGAGAATAAAATCATGGCATTTGCAGTAAATGGATGGAGCTGGAGAATATAATGCTAAGTGAAGTTAGCCAATTCCCCCCTCCAAAAAAAAACAGGTACCAAATGTTTTCTCTGATATAAGGAGGCTTATTTATAGTGGGGTAGGGAGGGGGAACATGGGGAGGAATAGACAAACTCTAGATAGGGCAGAGGGGTGGGAGGGGAAGGGAGGGGGC